TCATTTCGGTGCAGATAGTTTTGAAGACACCGCACAACGCTATATTCTTTCGTTAGACCAGTGCTTCTCAGCTACATCGCAGCAGCTACCTGTTCCTGACGTATCCTCATTAATTATCGACGGTAAATTATAAAAATGTTTCTAAAATAATTTTTTCTTCTTTTTCATGATTATTAAGTAGCTAAGATAAAAAATTTAAAGAGAAAGAGGTTGAGTAGCTTTCTGCTGAAGTCATCGAAATTCAGATGATTTTAGGTCATCAATTTATGCTTTAACAATCATTTTGGTTAACAAGATTTATGTAAAAAAAGTGCCAGTTTGGAAATACAAGAGGGTGTCTAAAGAATCGCAACTACAATGGTGTTAGACAGTTCTAATTCTGCATTAGAAACTGCTAGTTTTCTTTCATAAATGCTTCTTCTTCGCTGTCGTTTCGAGTTTTTGCGTATCATATTCGGGTTATCAATAACTGTTCGTTCCCAACAACCCAAAGCTTTGTGATGCAAAAACACTGTTTTAAAACTAGCTTCTTTTGTTCATTAAAGTCTTTAATGATCGGTTGCAGAAGATGCAGTTTACGCTCGTATTATTTACGGGTATGAATTTGCCGATCGCCTTTGGGAATTACCAAACGGATTGAATACTTTACCGGAACTAAATACCGACTCTGTTTGCCTGATCAAGGTAGAAAGTCTTTCAATAAAGCGACAGCATAAAAGTGGTACCCTAAAAAAGCGCTTATCTGTAGTTACTTCATTAAGCGCAAAAAATTTTTGTAACTTTCTTACCTTTTCTTTATCTCGCACTTACTTTGTAGAACAAGGTACAAAACCGATAAAAAGAAACTATTGCTTTAAAAATATATGAAAAAAAAGGAATGAGACAAACACTAGTTACTGGTTGAAAATCCACTTAAATAAAGAGTTTAATTAAATGGTTTTAACAGTCATTTTTTCTGCTAAAGTAGTTTTTAAAGCACTGAGCTTCATACTCATCCTGCTGTTTCAGAGGCCGCTCATTATCACAAACAAGTTTTATGTTCTATAAAAGCAAAAATCACAGCATTATTAAACCTGAGAAAGCGATTAGGCATCTCAAATTTCGAAAACTTAAAACTTAACGCACCGAATAGCAATAATAAACAATAAATTTTTAGTGACTAGATACTCAATAATTGGTTACACCGAAACTGAATTCTGAAGCTCTATTTCCGTCATGAGAGTTAAAAATAAGTTTTTTCCTCTGCAGATTAGAAGCATTTTCCTAGTCATTTTTACTTAGTTTGGATAGACAGTTTGGAACGGTAAATGCTACTAACGTTTCCTGGTGTCTAACTCCGTATTTCAAAGTCTAGAAAGAAAAATAATTTCTAAGCAAAGCTTATCTTCTTATTAACCAGTATTTTAACAAAACGGCCTGACTTTTTACTCCTTTCCAATCATCAGATAACTAGAAACTATTCGTAGAGATGTGATCAACTCTTGAAAAGTAAAATACTGCTTGAGAAGAACTAGGAAACTTTCAAATAAACGTCTAAAATGAGTTCTACTGTAAGATTCAAAAACTGTTGCTGACCAAGCAAAAAAATTTTAAAAAATTCCATATTGCGGCTTTTCATTAATCCAAACCAACAAGTAGTTTCAGTGAAAAGAGAGGTATTTTTTCCAGATTTTTTACTAAAAGTGCCTCCTATCTAAATATTAATAAAGTGCAAAAGATAGCAGCAAGACATTGTCACAGACGACACAATAGATAACTAAAAGCTGAAAGTTTCAGGAATTTGGAGGGAGACTTTTTGGCGATGGAATCAGTCGAATTAGCGATTCTGCAGATCTTAGACTGTGAGTGTTGCACTTATTTCGAACTTGTTGACCGATTTTTGGCACATGCTGTATCTTTACAGTGAATTCTGACTTTATTCAGTCTGAAAGACTTAAATCACAGGAATAGCTTGAATACTTCATGTCTCATCGACGAAAATGAAGTACGTTGCTACCGAAGATACCTGGAAAACGACCACGATTACCAACACCTGGTAGCCAATCGAGATCAAGCTCTCCGGTCTTGCATACAGAGGTAAATATGTTTTAAATAAGATTTCTTGTATTCTTCTTACAAACCGCTGATACTAAAATAATGGGGACCACTTAGATTATTAGTTTCATATAATATTATTTTTTTGTTTTTTAAATCGAAAACCTCAGTGATAAAAGGTAAGAAAAAAGATATCAGATAATATCCTTCCTCAGTAAGAACTTGGATTGAACGAACTGGGCTCAGATTTTAAAATTACACAACTGATTACCTTATTGGTTGGAATAAGGGACGACGGCGCCTATACAATTGTTTAAGAAAAGACTATTGTTCCCGAACTTCGTATCTATGAGGAAGTCGGCCAAAAAAGCTTATAAACGGACGTCACTAAGTAATCCGTGCAGAATTTTATAGAGATGCTCAGAAGCTCAAAAAATGTTAGCTACGACTCTGCACAACTCAGTTCCTTAATTTTTCACTTCCCACTTACTATCGTATTTGGTCAAAGTTCTGCACCGACACAGCATAAGTTCACTGCAGATCAGCAAAAAAATACGATAATTCTCAGTTTCGTCATGCACAGAGATCTCAGCCTATAAGTAAATCATATACTTCTAACTGCTGATAGCCTCAAAACCTTAAAATTTTAACCGTCATTCATCTAACCTAAAGATGAAAAATGTAGGAAAAGAGTTCTGCCTCCTTTTGAAGGGGCATTCGCGTTTTGAAAAATTTTTTGGTCCCTACTTTTGTACAGCAATATACTAAAAATATATAAACTAATAAAGCATGGTCTTACCTAGTTTATATTCTTCAAAGACCACTTTTCTAACTTTACCAGCCACCTCATTAAGGACAAAGAATTCTAGCTGTTATATGATGCTTTCCAGAATACCTACTCAAATTCTTACGCCAAATACCAAAAGGCAACCCTAAGATGTTCAGTCACCTTTTTTCATGGTCTAGACCTCCGTGGTTGAGCTCAATAACTGAGCAATGTACCCCTTTCACCAAACGTGCTATAATAAACTCAGACAAAGCGAATAAGTCCCCTTCAAAAGAATCCATCAGAAACAATCTTTTGAGACGCACTTAGCAGAAAGAATGGGCTAAAAACGAATGACTAACGAAATTTTTACTCGAAAACCCATTTTTGATAAACTTATATTCTCCACTAAAGCCTAGTTTCTCAGCGTTTTGCGGTGTAACGATCTTTAACTGGATGTAACAGTGGTTGATTTAAGCCTTCAACTAGTCACAAAGGATTTAAAATAATTCCACAGCTGTAATAAAAGATCCAATTCACGTTTTTGCCAAATTACTTAGCCAATATTAAAAATGAACTTCAAAGAAAATACGTTTTCAGGCCCAGTTAAAACTACTGTTTCTTTCGCCTCATGTTAGAAAACCAAGAAAAATTTTCAAAACAAACTGAATTCATAAAATAATCCGAGATACAATACTCTTCCTTCAGCAAACTGTCATTTCACTGACACATCAGTGTCAAAAATTACTTAAGCTCCGCCTAATCGTTGAGTAATGAACTGCTTACAGCCTCAGATTACGGAGTGAATGTCGAAACAACGATGGTTCTACTATGCGAGCTTGCCTTTGTAGCGCCAGAGAAGAATTTGAAAATCGGCTTCAAGCCTCCTTAATCGAATGTGTCCGCAAATCTGGCTCGATGTTCAGCGGTAGTTCACAGCATAAAGTTCATCAGTCAGAAACAATCTTTAAACTTACTTTAAAAAAAAACATAAGCTTTAGCAGCAAAAAACATCTTTTTATTCTTTTTGTTCTCCCCTAACATATCTCTTCAATGTACAGTTAGATTAAGTTACACTCGACAACCAAAATTAATTTTTTTGAGAAGCCATAATCATACTTAAAAAATTGACGTTCCTCTATAACATATCAGCTTGACTGTTATTTTTCATCCACTTTCACAAATTTTTACCGAGAAATTATCTTTCAGAACGCTCCCCCTAACAACAAAATTACAAGTTGAAAAAGCCAAATTGTGAGATTGTAAAAAAAAAAAAA